TCTTTAAGGATGGTAATATTTTCTGGGTTAAATCAGACTATCAGGGCTTGTAAACGTTATGCATTTAATGTGATGGCTACTTTGCACACCAGTGAGATGGAATTTTAAGAGTGAGAGAGAAGTAAGTAGGATTTAATTGGGTGCTTTGTAAATAGTCAACTATGTGTGTAACGTGGTCTGTTTGATATTAAAAAGGAAAGGATTTGTTTCAGATTATACAAGAATAAAAGTATTATAGACCCAAGGGACTTTTTATGAGGTCAAAGCCAAATATTTATATGAATATGAAATATCATGATCCCTAGTAGTTGAAGTGGCAATGTCTCAACAGAAATGAACAAAGTTAACACTAGTAGGTTCAAATAAATCAAAAGATTTAATTTCCAGCGTGCTATCCCCTTAGCTCTGACATTTTAGTGGTCTTGGGTATTTTTAGAATTTGATGTATTTAATGTTGAGCCTTATACAGTCAAAGAACTACTTGTTTAGATTAAGTTTATTTTTACTTTTTATATTATTCATTCTTGTCACACATCAAGAGGAAGACAATAGAACACTGGAATTCCAAATCTGAAGAATTCTAACGATTGCATTCTTATTAAAAAGGGGACAATTCCTCCTTTTTATTAGTTTCATTTCAGTAGGAAGCTTGTCATGTGAACGCTGTTGGTTTGAGTTAGGCATCTGTCATTCCTGATTGCTGAACCCTACCTAAGCCCCTGAGCATAGTTTAAAACTTAGGGTGGCAGAATATGAACCTTAAAATAAGCAGATAAATGTTTTTGAAGATGGATATTGCTCTGTTGAATTTATATTTTGGGCATGAAAAGCCACTAAACGGGAAGAAAAAAGTTACAGATACATTTCAGAGAGTTGGTGTTTTCCCCTTGGCCACTCAAGCAGCATTTGATGTCTCTAAAGAAAGAAAGTCCATTGTTTATAAGAAGAAACAATTCTATGCAGTTGTATAAGATACTACATTCTATCAAAATGTTGGCTGTGTCCTAACCAAGCAACCAGATAACAAAAACATTTTGAGTCATCTATCTAGTTAGTTCTAATTATTCAGATATTTAGTTTAACAGGAAAATATCCTGACTTCTGTCATTTCAATTTGTATACTTTCCATTGTATGAGCACAGCCAAAGAGTAAGAATCATTTAAAACTCCCTAAGGGAAAAAGAAAAAAAAAAAGTATACCACACACACAGTGGATGCTGTTTCTAAGGGAATAAAATCCTGCTGTTTCAGACATCTCTGATGTTAAACGAAGGATAACACCTTTCATTTCAAAGAACTAGTATACTTTGATATTGTGTAAATTTTCCTCAAGTTTATCTTCAAGCTTTAATTGCATTTTTAGAACTTCTTAAAAATTTGACCCCTGAAATCTATGGTATCGGATACCTCTCTCACAATAAATCTTCACTGAGCAAAAGCTTCTTGAGTTGGCGGTTTCTAATTGACTAATACTGAGTTATGCAATTTTTCATGATCAAGAATGGGTCTCTTGATTGATCACCTCAATTATTTACAGTGTTGCTTACTATGTGATGAAATATGTGGTTAAAAGTGGTAATCTGAATGGAAAGAAAATCTAGTTGAATGCTAGGGAAAGCTTCTCTTTTACTCGTTAGTACGTGCTAAGATAGGAAGCAGTCACCCTAAGAAAGGCAGCAGGATGATGCCCAGGGAAAACTGGACACACAGAAAAGGCAAATAATGCGGACGGAAAGCGATTATTTCACAGTGGTGTAGAGGCGAACAAAACTGGCTCTGCCTCTCTAGCTCGTGCAGTTTAATTATATACATGTTCATCAGCCCAGGTAGCCCTTGAGCTTCCACAGGGCCAAACACCAAGCCTTCCAGGCTTCAGAGGAAGGAAGGCCTTCCCTTGGCTGCTTTGCAAGTCCAGGAAATGAATTTACCCGCCTTCAGAATTCATCTTAATAGGGCCTGCCCTCAGTAGGTATTCTTTAGACCCCGATGATTTCTTTCAATTACAACCCATGACGTTTTGCAAAAATATCAGTTATATTAATCAGAATGATTTGCCCAAAAGGTTTGGGATTGTAATTTTACTTAAAACTCTACCCTGATCACTGGTACAATCGATACTTTAAACAAAAGACTCACAAAAGGGAAATAATTTGGTTCAAAGGAGACAAACTCTAGTCATAAATAACTTAGTTGAAAATGCTTTCAATTTCTCATTGAACTTTTTAAAGTGTATTTTGTATTCAAATGCCTCCTCCATACTTATTAATATCCTGGCTTGTTCTAAAAAGTTTTGCCTAAGTGCTAAAACTAAAGTC